TTTTCTTGAAAATTATCATTGGGGGTAGATAGCATGTCCGGGTAGGAATGTTATTTAATTAAAGCATGTTCGGGTAGATATGGTAGGTGTTTTATTCATATTTGAATAACATTTTTATCTGTATCGATTATCTTACCTGTACTAATTAATTTCTTTTCTTTTGTTTGTGTACACTAACTTATTTCTTTTCTTTTGATTGTGTCATTTTTCATCATTCTTTGCATTGCATTGCATCGTTATGACATAATGCAAAAGTGTTGATCCGCAAGAGGATACTCAAGTGGAAATTTTCTCAAAGAAAATATAAAAGTTTTCAGTCAAGCGGTCGCGTACAAAGACATGCACCGAGGGCTAAAAGGAGTTCAGAGTTCAAAATGAGACTTGCTCAAAGATCGTGCAACATTCGAGACTTAAATGATGATTCATTGATCCGAGGAGTAACCTAATAGTAGATTCTTATCTATGATCATCTAATCGCTAGGAGTAATGTACTAACTTCCGCACTGACTTCCACTTTAGATGTAACAAATGACAAACTTCATTAGATCAAGTGGGATGTAGAAAACAACACTATAAAGCCATATGACACCGACCCATCCCCATCACATTCCTTGCAAATCCCCAGTTTGCATATACATCAAATAAAGTAGCAATCAATTGTGCAATAACAAAGGCAGTGACCAGTAGCAATCCGAAACGCTCAACATAAGACCAGCTACGTGATATAGTCAAAATATTAGAGGCTGGCTCACAATGCGTACTTGTAAATATAAAGCACCTATCATTTGATCCTCCCTGTCCCTTAGAGACCTTACACCAAATTTGTCTGAGAAGAAGTCGGTATCATGCATAAACCAGAAGAAGACGACAGTCATCAATGCCAAGTAGCCTTCAACCACAATCCCGGTGGTAAAAATTTCTTTCAGTTTCCAGCTATTAGGCAAGGGAGACGACCTTACTCTGTCCTTTGAAATTGTCATGATGGTTCCACCGTTTAGAATGGAAATGATCAAAACTATGGATGGTGAAAAATTGAACTTTCATATTAGAGAAATAAACAAAGTATCTTCTCAATCGAGACAGTTTCTTTTGAAGAAAAATCTTTGAGCTTGTTTCTTAGGAAACAAAATTTTGTCTCCTTTGAGACAGCTTCTTTTGAAACATCATCTATGAATCAGTTTCTTTTGAAACTAAAATTCCCTGACCAAGACTCATGAACAGATGAGCAGTGTCATCACCTGACCAGATATCCTCATTATGTAGGAGCTGTGTCAATTTAGATAACCAGCCGTCCCCATCATAGTGGAACCGTGTTATCACCTTTAGATGACCAAGACTCATGAACAGATAAGCAGTGTCATCACCTGACTAGATCTCCTCATTATGTAGGAGTTATGTCAACTTAGATAACCAGTCGTCCCTAGCAGAGAGGAATCGTGTTATCACCTTTAGATGGCCAAGACTCATGAACAGATGAGCAGTGTCATCACATGACTAGATCTCCTCGTCACGTAGGACCCGTGTCAATTCTAGATAACCAAGTGTTATCACTTTTATCTGACCAAGACTCATCGTATATGAGCAGTGTCAACCATGGATAATCAAGACTTATCATAGTATGAACAGTGTTATCACCCTTCCTAAAGATGACCAAGATTCATCATAGTATGAGCAATGTCATCTCCTGTCTAGATTTCCTCATTATGTAGGAGTCTTGTCACCCTTAGACGACCCGAACTCTTCATCACGTATGAGCATTGTTGTCTCCCCAAATCAAACAATATTAAATTTTCAAAACCAAAAAAAGATCATTGGATAAAAACTGGTTGTCTATTTCGTCTTTGCCCTATTCTTGTTAACACAAGAATGTGCAAAGAGGGGCAGCTGTAGACACTCGTTTTTGTTTGGGTCTATATAAATATTATTTATAATTAATAATAATAATAATAATAATAATTATTATTATTATTAACAATTTTGGTTACAATGTTTGTAGGCCCACATTACAACAAGACCCAACACTAAACCAGATCCAGAGTACTCCAACCCGGTTACAACTGGAACCCGACCCAAGGATCCAGACCCAATACCCAGAACCGACCTAATCCGGCCCAACTAAACTCTAAGCAGATTAGGGTTTCTACCCTAATCCCTTAACAGCTACCGCCAACAACAATTCGACTTCTCTGGCTACGCGTGAGCCGCTGCCAAGACACCGAAGAGTCGTTCAAGCCGAGGTCACCATCGGAGCCATCACCGAAACCTACCAAATAATCAAACAAAAGTCAAAAAGAAAAATAAATCCCGAAAATTACGGGATTAAATCATACCCACTACCCACTATCGATCTCCACATGCAACGATAAAAAAGAAGACATATTCGAACCAAAAAAGAGTGAGGGGGAGAGATTCGGTGTTGAAAAAGAAAAAATCCAGAGAAATAAACTAGAGAAAAACGAGGGTGAGAGATTCGAACCCAAAGCAAACAAACTGAGAGGAAAGTCTAAGATCCATCAACAACTAAAAAATACAAAAAAGAGAAGTACAAAACCCTTACCTTTGACGGGGAAGCATCGGGAAACCCAAGGGTCGTTGGAGTTGCATGTTCTTCGAAAGGTAAAGGCTAGATCTAGGCTTGTGGGTGTTTTTAGGTCGAGTGAGGGTGATTTTCGGGTAAGTGGTGGAAAAGAGAGCATTTTGGATTCATTTGGCTTGTTCTGACCTCCATGGGCCGTCGTGCGCCGCCGCGAGGCGCCATCCACGGCGGACGTTTTTCCTCTCCGATGAAGAAAAATTGATAGAGTCTTTGGGGACTCTCTCTCTGTTTTGGGGGGCTGAGAAAACAAATGAGAGGATAGGGTTTCTTAACCCTTAAGTGGGGTATATAACCCACACACCGAACAACGTTGTTTAGGCCAATAGAGGTCTGCATTTTTAAAAAATGGTAAAATAGCATTTAAGGTCCCTCTATCTTTGTAATACATGTAATTATATCACTGAATGAAGTTTCATTCTTCTATTTCGAGCACTTTATTTGTTTTGTGTTTCATTTTAGTCCTATTTGCTTATTTGTTTTTTACTTTTCGATGTTTAGATATTTGTTTCATGATTTTACTATTTCCTATTTCAGTCCCTATAATTGGATTATAATATTTTTTTATATTTAGATTTTGGAACCTTTAATTGCATAATATTCTATTGTAGTCCTAATATTTGTGAATGTGTAAAATTGTGTATTTTATGTTTTAAAGCATATGTTTTGCCCCGAGTTCGTTCTAGTCACCATTTTTAATGCCTATGTGTTTTGGGTTTATTGTTCATTGGGTTTGTTATATTCATGTTTAGTTCATTTTAGTCCTAAGCTTTATTTATGAGTTATTTTCGCTTCTAGTACCTGTACTATTTAATATTTTCGATTATAGGAGTCTGGTTTATTTTATTTATATTTTAGCCCCTTCAATTTACGTTTTTACTTATTTAGCCCTTTAAGTTTCTATTTTTACCATTTTAGTCCTTAAATTTCTATTTTAGCTATTTTAGCCCTTCAAGTTTGGTTAAATATCATTTTGGTCCCGGAAATTATCCTATGTACTTATTTTTCTTGTATTTTGGATTGTAATGTTTACTTATTTTTATTTTAGTCATTTATGTATGAATATTTTATATTTTGTGTGTATCTTTTTATTTGTTATGTGTTCACTTGTATCACATATAAATAAATATGTTTATTGCTTGTTATTGTGATTATTTTTATTTTGCATGTTTCCAATCCTTATTGTTTGAAAATGTAAATTTAATTTTGAGAGAAATCTACGAAAACATCTCCCAAATACAAGGGAATGTATCTTTTCAAGGATTTATCTTATAAATGCTTATTTTGTATTCAATAATTTTATTTATTCTACGTTTATTTATTTCGAGTATTTTCACTATTTTTTTACTTTTATTTTGTTTTATTTTATGGTATTTTATATTTGCGAAAAATTGTTAAATAACATCTTTTGTGAGAGAAATTTATGGGAAAGTATCATAACTGCAAAGGAAATGTATTCCCGAAGATTATTCACACAAAAAGAAATTAATTATTCGAAATTTGACATTTTTTAAATAAATTTGAATGAATAAAAGGATCGTAATTTAAATATATTTTCGAGTTTGTAATTCCCGATATTTAAATAACATATAATCGTTTAGGTACCAAAATTTGGGCGTTGTGGGGTGCTAATCCTTCCCCATGCGTAACCGACTTCCGAATCCATTTAATTGAATCTTTGGTGACGCATACCAGCTTTTGTCTTAAAAAATGATTTTTCTTAAAATTGTTTTTAAAAGACATTTTTAAGTATTCGACCCTCCTAACCCAAAGGTCGATGGAGACTCTATCCAATTTAGTAAAAAGTAATTCCAAATCCACCAATTTTTCAAAATAAATAGTCATAACTGTTTTTAAAACAATAAACAATTGTTTCTCATAAAAATTGTTATGACACCAACAAAAATGAAAATAGATCCTTCCATATCTTTACGATCAAAACATCATCTTTCCAAAAACAAATCAGATCCCACGTTCATACTAAAGGTGCTTTATTACGTTTTCTTTGAAAAAAGATTGTTAAAAACGCAATAAATGTAAATGTTAAACAGAAAGCAATAATAACAAAACAAAGGGTGGTGTTTCTGATTTTCGGAAGAAATGAAAGGGGGTATACGTTTAAGCAGTATAATGAGAGAGAAAGGATCTTAGATTATATAATAAGAAAGTGAGAAAGGAACAACCATTGTTTTGAGTTTAGTGAACACAAACCAAGCCTTGCAAGTTCAGCTTCATCTTTCCCATACAACACGCAGCAGCAACTCCTTAGCATGATGGGCATTCTTCCGATAACAAGATTATTCTGCAAGGAAGAATATTTTATATTACATTCAAAGCACCTATCTTTCTGCATCATACACACATCAAAAAAGCATCTGATGTACCTTTTCTAGTCTAGTTTTCTGCCCATGACTCCCATGAATGTACTCTATGCTGACCAATATCGGTGCAGAATACCTTAAATTAACGCCACATTAGCAAGATGAAAGAGAACAATATGCACTACTCACTATTCCATTTAAAGTTTCAGTTGTTATAACACCAGGAAAAAATTCAATAATTCCAAAAATGCCTATATGAAATAGTTGAACATAGAAATGTATGAATGTATTTAGTACATACGTCATATCTGACAATCGGCATGTATGAGGATTGATTTTTTCACTGATCCCATCAACCGTCATGGAGGGATCACCAATTCTAACATCTTTGAACCTGCACCAGAACACCAGTTACAATTGAAGTAGAGGCGGAAAAAAGTCTAAATCCAAATTATGCCAATAGGAAACTTAGTTCACTGCATGCAGATAAGTCATAACCAGAATTCCAGGGACCAAATACAAGGCAACCAAACTATAGCATGGAAGAAAAACAGCTAAGGCTCCCTGAGGTTGTTAATATCACTATTTCATCGCTTGCTCTTAGCTTGCTCAAATGCTACTGACAATAAAATTCCTCATATTTTATTACAAACAGAAAATAGTTAAGCCATAACACATCCGAAGTTAATATTCCATATAAAAGTAATATAGCATGTGATCATTCCAAAACAGCCTTTCTTTTATTTATTTTTAACTGTTCAAAAGATTATATCTTGCTTTTAAAAGCAAATATAATAATAATAATAATAATAATAATAATAACAACTAGCTACAATCAAACGGAACCTGCATCAGCTAGTTGGCAAAATATAATTTATAACAATCATAACCCAAAAAATAAACAAAAAATGCTTTCAAACCTGAGGTAAATACTGGGGTCAAGATCGGCTACAATCCGGTCATTGGCACGAACAATCTTCTTTATCCCAGTATTTGTTGGATCTCTCCTTAATTGGAGAGGTTCTAGAAAATTCTAGAGCTTTCTGGAGAAGTGTAGAATTTTCTAAAACATTCCGGAGAACTCTAGAGAAGTGTATAACTCTCTAGAAGCTTGTGGAAGAGTGTAGAATCCTCTAAAATATTCTAGAGATGTGTTGAACCTTATGGAAGAGTATGGAAGAATATGGAAGGGAGTGGAAGAGTGTAGAGCTTCCTAGAGTGTGTAGAGCTTCCTAGAGTGTGTGGAGCATTCCAGATAATTATTCTCTACCCTTGGATATAAGTAATCTCCACCATTCATTGTAACATCCCAAACTACGGGTTAGTGACTAAATTGTAAAACTTCAGAATTTGGTGATTAAAATAAAATGGTTGAATAGTTTAATGATTTATTTGAATATATTTTATGAATTATTGTTAGTAATTATTAAATGAAGTGAAGGGCAAAATGGTCATTTTATTTAGAAATTAATTAAAAATATGATATGATAATGATATATATATTTATGTGGGGGATAAGGATAAGGAAAAGATTTCTCCATAACTTCTTCTTCCTTCTTCCTCTCCTCCCGTATCTCCAAGCTCAAAGGTGAGTCTTCTATTTAGTTAATTTCTGGTTAAATTTAAGGTTGGGTTTTGATCATTAGATGATAATTAAGCTTAAGGAAAGCTTAATTTGTTCTAAAACAATAAGATGAAAAGTATAGGAGAGATTAAAGATTTTGAGTTCTTGAATGAAATATTGAAATATAGTTGATAAGTTGAATTTTAAGTTGAATTTGAGTTGTCATCTATGAGAATAAGAAGTTAGAAGTGTTAGAATTAAGTTTAGATAACATGGAAAATTTAGTATGATTATTGATTTCTATATGGAGAATAGAATTTTGAGGTTTAAGATGAAATAAATGGATATAAATTAGTTTAAGTATGTATATTTGAGTTAAGAATATAAAAGGGGATGAAATATGAAGAATTGAAGTGGAAATAGAGAATTTTCGTGCAATGAACAATGATTTTCTGGGCTTGAACGAAAATTCCAGATTGTGCAGGGGGGACAGATTCCCCCCTAAATGAAAAAAATGGAATTTGGTTCATTAAACCGATTTAAGTTATTAACATCAAGTTTATAGTTTAGGATTCTGATAGTTGTTTTGAAATATTATATTTATGTAGATATTGAGCCTAAACAAGTTCCGGAATAATCAAAGGATTAAGATTGAATCAAAACAAGGCTAAGGTGAGTGCACATTATTTAGTATATGATGTTCAATGGAAAATAAGACTTGTGATAAGTCTATTTCTAATAGTAAAATGCATGAATTCATAGAAGTATGTGTTTGTTATGATTTATATGTGTTCATGAGTATATGTGTTATTGATATGTATATGAGAATATATGTATATGAGAAGACATAAGAGTAAAATATAAGCAATGTAACAAAGTGTGAAATGACATGAAAAGTTGATATAAGTTATACAAAAGTGATTTACGTGACTATATGTATTGATGTGTTTTTGTATGAATCTAAGAGATCATATGAACAAGAGCTAAGAGAAATAAAGGATAATACTATAGGAGTATGATAAAAACATAAATGATGACATGTATGTGTGTATGTATGTAATGGTTATATGAAAAGTATATGAGTTACATGATTTATGTGAAATGTCATGATAGGTGATAATAACCGTGAGCTTATATGAATATGTGTTATGAATGTGATATATGTGATGTATAGGAATCATATGAGAACAAGAGATACCAATGATTTACATGTCATATGAACACAAGAGAAGTGTTATAAGAAAATTGACATATGATTATGAAATCATATGAAAAGTGAAATGTGCCTGTGAATGTGTGAAATGATATAAATGATAATGCCCATGTTATGTAACATGAGAGCTATAGGTATAGTTGGCATGCCAAGAATCGAGGGTTTACCTATGTTTTATGGAACATATGGACAGAATTACCTATGTCTTTCGGGACATATGGACAGTATACATATGTTCTAAGGAACATATGGACAGTTTACCTAGGTTCTTCGGGACCTATGGACAGTTGTCGAGGTTCTTTATGACCTCTGGATAGTTACCGAGGTTCCTTGTGACCTCTGGATAGGTCCTTCGGGACATTTATACGAGCTGTGGTGACAGCATAATAGTGCACAACCTCAATGTACTCACATACCTCGAGTTCTCAATAATGTACATGGGCTTATAAATGGTTATTAAAGGTAAGTGTATTATTATTGTTTACACTAAAATACTTGTGACATGATTGAATGATTTGATTATATGTTCATATGTATATTAAATGCATTATTATTATGTTTATGCCTCACTAAGTCTATGACTTAGCTTGTAAGTGATTTACACGTAGGTACTGAGAAGCATGAGGATCAAAGCTAAGTTCAAAGTAACAACATATCTCTGCTCAAAGATCAAATCAGAAGAACCTTACACAGTATGTATGTTTATATGATATAGGTGTTGGCATGTAAATAAAGTCGTTTAGTATATATGCTCTGATCGACTTCTGTAATGTTTTAAACGTATAAATGTAATAGTAAATGTATATTAATGAATGGTTAAATTTTTACGAGTTTTATATACGTATTTTACGGAAGTACTGTAGCAGTACTGTAGCAATATTGTAGCAGGGTATTGATTCCCTGTAGCAGGGGAATCGGTTCCCCTTTGATAATCTGGAAATTTTTAACATTCGGGTACTGTAGCAGGTAATGTTCATCATTGTTCATACGGTATTGTTCATACCGTATTTACTGTTCATAAATATGTTTTTTACTCAAAATTTATAACAAACACAATTCAACAATATATGATCTCATTTCTTAAAATGAGTTAAAATGTTTTAATATTTTGTAACAATATCGTTTTTAAAAGTTAATGTGACATCTCGGACTCGTATTCGGGTCGGGTACGGGTTGGGGTGTTACATTCATTGTGGAGGTGGAGTAGTATAAATAGGGGTGAGAGACTTCATTCCTAACCATCCAAAATCCAAGAAATTCAAGCTTGAGAAACTAGAGAGTTAGAGAGCCTCTTTGAGAGAGAAGAGAGATAGCTTGGGAAGTCTTTATCCTCAAGCTTGAGTGAGCCACCAAGTGTGAGTCAAATTTTGTGAACACATCCTTGTAATCTTTCTATTCTTTTGTATAGTGGAAGAATCTCCAAATTGGAGAATTATACTCTTGTGCTCTCTTTAATATCCTTAATCTCTAAGTGTCTATCTTAACTTCACAAAGCGGGAAAGACCGTGCTTCCCAACAGTATTAACGAAATAATTAAATGAATCCAAGTGCTGCTTCACTAACCCTCTAACCTATTCACCCAGAACCCAAAATTCAGTTCAAAAACATATACAACTTCACATAGAAAAAAATAACAAATTAACATCAAACCATCTTTAAAAACTCCGGGAGAAGTTAAAACTTGTCGATAGCTGTTTTGATTGGAGCAGCAAGCTTTTGCTTGTCCACTGCTATCTTAGAAGCATTTAAGCTATCGGGTTTTCCCAATAAACAAAAAATTGAAGTTAGAAATTAAACAAAATAAAATCACATTTGGTAAAAAATAACATAAATATGGAAGAAAAAATTACTTCTTCGTGCTGTTATTGAGAAGTATATCTTCTTGCTTGAGACCCATCTTTTTTTTATTTAGATTGAAGTTTAGTCTGGAATTTAGATTAAATTTAGCAGAAGAGTGTTTAAAAACTGCAGAGAAACCGTCGTCACCTTTTTTTCTAAAACCCTCTCTTTTCGGATAAGTTATATTAGGAGAATGACCAAATGAAGAAAACCCTCAAAAAGAGGGAACTTTATCTCAAAGCACCACAACGAGTAATTAGACCAAACGCGCATGGAGAGCAACTAAATTTGTTCCCAAATGGATGTATACCTTTCTTCATGGGCCAAACCCATGGAAATACGGGTCTTCAAGCATAGCTCTGTTCTTTTTCATTAATGTTAGCTTCAACTTACAAATTACAGCGGGTTGAAAATCTATAATTTTTAAAATTATTCAATTTCATAGTTGTATCTAAAGATTAAAATATGTTTTTATTTTTGAATTATTTTATTGTTATTGTTATTTAAATTCTAATTAAATATTATTATCTGCTAAATATTTGAATATACAAAATAAAATTTTAAATTATATTGGATACTAGAATTCATACAAATATGTTATTATTTGAATGAACAATGTTCAAATCTGTATAATTTTTTAATCCAAAGTTAAATTCAAATATTAAAATTTGAAAATACATAATTAGTGTGAACTCAAATAATAGATATCCAAAAATATTTATCCATAAATTAAAATAGTTTAACTACAAAGAATGTGAATGAATATAAATTATAATTCAAATTTTATTAAAATTTATTTATTCAAATTTCATTTAATTTTAATTCAATAATTTTATTTTTGAAAGAAGACGTCTTTAATATTAACTGAAATAGCATCCTGTAGTACATAATCGAAAATAAAATCTAGGCATTCATGAAAAAAAACAGAAGTATTTAAAAACAAACTGTGATCAGATATTCAAATCATGGTCGCGTTTTTGGAAGGCACTGCTACTGCTATATCGCGGGCATAGCAGACGCTATTGCGGTGACTACAGGTGTTGCGGTCAAATAATAGCGTTTTCAGAGGGCACCGCTACCGCTATATCGAGGGCGCTATTGCAGTCGCGGATCACTATTTAAATCTCTGGTCGTGATTCAACCTTGATAGATCAATCCGACGCTGGAGCAATTGAACAACCAAATTGGAGGCATCACTTTCGACCGTGATCTGCCGGTATCGGAGGTTGACCGCTAGCCGAATACCAGATGTTATTGTTTGTGCTTCAACAGGATCACCGGTAAAGGGCCAACAACTACCAGGCCATTGTTATAATATTTTGAACTATGATGAAATATAATTTATATGTATCATACTTTATTTATTCAATTTTTTAAT